TGCATGTTTCCGTTATCCATAGCGTTCCTTGACAGTGTTGTTTCTAAGTGCTACATAATCATGCCATAGACGTTGAGCAACTGAAGACGAAATGCAAAGTTTGACTGAAAACTATTGGGACTACCCAAAGTAAGACATCCAACATCTGGCTGTTTGGTTCAAAGATGTGCTAAAGGCTCCTTTACCTTTGCGCAAAAATGTCCGCAAGACGGGTCATATTTTTCTTCTGTCCAATGAGACATTGCTGAATGTTTAAATTTGAATGAGTACAAGACTTTAATCTTTAATTGAAAGTAATATGTAATATGATTTATTTAATAAATATATTATAAATAGATCACTTCCTACATGATTGCTTTATTTCTGATAGAGGAGCTGGAGCATTTATCGCTCATTTATCGTTATCCAGGTAAAACTGCCCTATTTATTGTGATATTGATCTGAGGTAATATCACCCAGCTCTAGTTCAGCCCCTTTCAAAGATCCCCAGACGCCTTCCTTTACAGTCCTTTCCTCTCTAGGCTGTTCTTGTGACCGTTGTTTATGCATCGGGTTTTCCTTTCACTTAACTTTCTGTTTACATAATTGAATGTAGATTTCGCTGAAACACTGTCCCATTAACCAATTAGCTTCTGGGTTCTGATTTATAACCCTTTTTCATTAATTGGTAGCATGTAACATTGTGCCACATAAGATGAATAAACATTTAGAATGAATTACCTGTGACAATGACTCTATATTAGATGACTCACTTTTTCTGTTACAGAATATAACTGTTGCATTAAAAAACAAATGCATTTTATTTTATTCATTTTGTAATAAATATAAATAATTCATAGACCAACTTAAAATCCTGACTCTGCTGAAAAAAATATGAATTAATATCGCCCCATTTAGATTAAAAAAACTGAGGCATTTCATCTCTGAAGATTATTACAGCCAGTTATTACAGCCAGTACACAAAACGTACAACACAAAACATCAGCTTATTCAGGGCTGTATGCTTTTAATATAGTGATTTTCTCTTAAATACAGAAAAAGGTTTAGATTGAATATTTATGTCCATTAACTAACACTTCTAATTTGAAAAACATCTTTCCATCCTTGTAGTTTTAGATCTAGATTAATTTTTTTCTTTTTTAAATCTCAGTTCCTGTTAGTTTACATCTCAAGCGTTGGAGCTCATCACTATCGTAGGACCTGTAGAGTCCGTCTTTATTTCACATTCAAAACGAATAGTTTTGAGCTGTCAGAGGAGTGAATGCTTTGGGAGTTTGTGATGATTTAAAGATTACGTTTTTCTGAGCTGGATGTTTAAAAGATTAATCTATCTGGATTCAAACATAGCTGTTTCTTTTATTTAAACGGTGTGATTAGTATTAGATGATATTTAGATTTATAAAGAGAATGTATCAAGTGTTGCAAGTAAAGCTTGAAGGAGACTCCATTTTTCTAAATGGTGCCAAACTGTGCAACAAATTTCAATATGTCATTGCAAAAAATTTTTTAAAAAAATCCACTGGACTTTGTTTCCAAGTTTGAAGACATTTTGCTTCCCATCCAGAAAGCTTTCTCAATTCAAAATGTCAGAAACCAATTAAAAATCATTGGGGTCCGAATAAAGAAAATCAAAAACCAGTAAAGGTCCAGAAACATTTTTAATTAGAATCTGTTACTTTAAACAGAATTTAA